AATGAAAAATAGAAATATAGGTGTTGGACAGCCTCGGGTGGCTGGGCGGACCGAAAAGTGAATTTTCCGCGTCGTCAGAAACGTACCAGAAAATCACTTTTTCGAAAACAGGAACAGGGAGCAGTGAAAAGTAGAATAGGAAAATGCACCAGCAGAAACTTATTACCGATTGTACAAAATGAAAATGAAATCCAAACAAATGATCGAATTCTAACTGTTAATCGAGACACGTATGAAGTATGGAATATCAGGTTAGCGGAGTCAAACAACTTTCCACGCGGTCCGGTTTATTCATGAGCGAGCACGACTATTTAATTCAGGCGGTTGAGATCGACTGCCGTCTCCGATCGACCGCTGTGACCAGCTTGGCTCTCGCCGCGTCCCCTCTCTTCTGCGGCGTAGCGACTTTGCACGATTGAAATGAAACGGGACTTCGTTCCGTCGGTCGACTGGTACAGGGTGTTATTTAAAAAAAAAGATAGTTGATTCCAGATTTTAGGAACGAATCTTAATAATTCGTTACAGGTATCATTCTTTGAATGAAAATAAAGCCTTTGTATCATGTTTGATCGCGGCAGTCTCGTGCAGAGCCTCAGAAATGAATTTTAAAGTTGAAGGTGGTGCATCGAAAAAAAAATACTCAGCAGGCAGAGGTAGTAATTATTCCTGGTAGGTATCATTCTTTGGATGAAAATAAAGCCTTTGTATCATGTTTGATCGCGGCAGTCTCGTGCAGAGCCTCAGAAATGAATTTTAAAGTTGAAGGTGGTGCATCAAAAAAAAATACTCAGCAGGCAGAGGTAGTGATCATTCCTGGTAGGTATCATTCTTTGGTTGAAAATAAAGCGTTTCTATCATGTTTGATCGCGGCAGTCTCGTGCAGAGTCTCAGAAATGAATTTTAAAGTTGAAGGTGGTGCATCGAAAAAAAAAAATACTCAGCAGGCAGAGGTAGTAATTATTCCTGGTAGGTATCATTCTTTGGATGGAAATAAAGCCTTTGTATCATGTTTGATCGCGGCAGTCTCGTGCAGAGCCTCAGAAATGAATTTTAAAGTTGAAGGTGGTGCATCGAAAAAAAAAATACTCAGCAGGCAGAGGTAGTAATTATTCCTGGTAGGTATCATTCTTTGGATGAAAATAAAGCCTTTGTATCATGTTTGATCGCGGCAGTCTCGTGCAGAGCCTCAGAAATGAATTTTAAAGTTGAAGGTGGTGCATCGAAAAAAAAATACTCAGCAGGCAGAGGTAGTAATTATTCCTGGTAGGTATCATTCTTTGGATGAAAATAAAGCCTTTGTATCATGTTTGATCGCGGCAGTCTCGTGCAGAGCCTCAGAAATGAGTTTTAAAGTTGAGGGTGGTGCATCGAAAAAAAAATACTCAGCAGGCAGAGGTAGTGATTATTCCTGGTAGGTATCATTCTTTGAATGAAAATAAAGCCTTTGTATCATGTTTGATCGCGGCAGTCTCGTGCAGAGCCTCAGAAATGAATTTTAAAGTTGAAGGTGGTGCATCGAAAAAAAAATACTCAGCAGGCAGAGGTAGTAATTATTCCTGGTAGGTATCATTCTTTGGATGAAAATAAAGCCTTTGTATCATGTTTGATCGCGGCAGTCTCGTGCAGAGCCTCAGAAATGAATTTTAAAGTTGAAGGTGGTGCATCAAAAAAAAAATACTCAGCAGGCAGAGGTAGTGATTATTCCTGGTAGGTATCATTCTTCGGTTGAAAATAAAGCGTTTCTATCATGTTTGATCGCGGCAGTCTCGTGCAGAGTCTCAGAAATGAATTTTAAAGTTGAAGGTGGTGCATCGAAAAAAAAAATACTCAGCAGGCAGAGGTAGTAATTATTCCTGGTAGGTATCATTCTTTGGATGAAAATAAAGCCTTTCTATCATGTTTGATTGCGGCAGTCTCGTGCAGAGCCTCAGAAATGAATTTTAAAGTTGAAGGTGGTGCATCGAAAAAAAAAATACTCAGCAGGCAGAGGTAGTAATTATTCCTGGTAAGTATCATTCTTTGGATGAAAATAAAGCCTTTGTATCATGTTTGATCGCGGCAGTCTCGTGCAGAGCCTCAGAAATGAATTTTAAAGTTGAAGGTGGTGCATCGAAAAAAAAATACTCAGCAGGCAGAGGTAGTAATTATTCCTGGTAAGTATCATTCTTTGGATGAAAATAAAGCCTTTGTATCACGTTTGATCGCGGCAGTCTCGTGCAGAGCCTCAGAAATGAATTTTAAAGTTGAAGGTGGTGCATCGAAAAAAAAATACTCAGCAGGCAGAGGTAGTAATTATTCCTGGTAGGTATCATTCTTTGGATGGAAATAAAGCCTTTGTATCATGTTTGATCGCGGCAGTCTCGTGCAGAGCCTCAGAAATGAATTTTAAAGTTGAAGGTGGTGCATCGAAAAAAAAATACTCAGCAGGCAGAGGTAGTAATTATTCCTGGTAGGTATCATTCTTTGGATGAAAATAAAGCCTTTGTATCATGTTTGATCGCGGCAGTCTCGTGCAGAGCCTCAGAAATGTATTTTAAAGTTGAAGGTGGTGCATCGAAAAAAAAAATACTCAGCAGGCAGAGGTAGTGATTATTCCTGGTAGGTATCATTCTTTGGATGGAAATAAAGCCTTTGTATCATGTTTGATCGCGGCAGTCTCGTGCAGAGCCTCAGAAATGAATTTTAAAGTTGAAGGTGGTGCATCGAAAAACAAAAATACTCAGCAGGCAGAGGTACAAATAACGTCACAGAAGATTCTGGAATGTTCTGGAAACAATCGATGGCACAATTAGAGAGAGAGAGGTTTCGTTCTAAGAAGCTTATCTAGAACAAAAAGAAGGAGACGGAAGATCATTCGAGAACGTTCTCGAACCAAAGCCTGCCAAGTGGATCTCATATATAAACGGCCGAACAACTGCCGTCAGTCAGTCGAGCAGCGAGTGTCAGAGAGACAGTTATATACCGCGTCTTACAAATCGTTTTACATAAATAGTATAGTTATAATTTCGATATAAATTAGTGTTTCTTCAGTTCAAATAAATCAGTTCGAAAATAGATAGTGTCGTGTTCGCTTCTACACCCGAATAACGTACCTAACAATATGTTTATTCCACTATAACTGTAATAATTGTTATGCAAATAGGAATCATAAATATTATCTGAATAATTTTACAGGCAGAAAAATATTTTCGAGGTCAGCCAATGTTCATTTGAGTATCTTCACAAATTTAGGTGTTGATGGTCTGCCAAGTTCATTCCCAAAAAAAAATTTGGTACACCACTGGTCTTTCGGGTAACTTCGGAAATTTTAGCTGCTGGGCTGGTCTCACACAAGGCTATTTAGACCTTGGGTCTCACACCGGTCAAGTGACAACAGTGCCCAGTGCATCCTGGTGAAATAAGAAGTAGAAGAGCTTTTTTTACGTGTTGGTACACTTGGTTTGTTGGTTATGATTTGTGATGGGTCGATGGGTGTTATTGTATGACTTTTTAAACTTTTTCAAATTCTGCAAAATATTATAAAACTATCTTCGATATTCAGACATAATACCTACTACTAATTAAACAAAGTATAGCATATAACAGTGATATGAATACAATAAAATTCATGGGTGGATAGATTTCCCCAATTGATGAGGTATGTACCTACATGAATCATTCTCAAAATGTTCATAAAAAAATCCAATATTTCACTTGAACATTCAATTTTCACTTTTACTGCATATAGCAAATTGAATAATCTTTTCATATGGTTTACCTCCCAAGGTATATGAGTCAATGTGTACATACAAATTCCTTGCCTCTATTATCTCCATTATCTCATCCCATTTTCTATGAGGAAGTCCAGGTGAAAAATTGATTGATTAAGTTTCTTGAAGTTTTTAATCATATTTTTCCTATTTGTTTCTCTCCTAAGATATGTAAGTCAATGTTCATGGGGTAAATGCACCAGTAGTCTGCCACCTAACTATAATTTTCAATGTGATATTAGTGAAAAAATATTATTCACAGAGTTGAATATTCGCTTTTGTTGCATCAGTACTCTTTGTTTCGTTTACTAACACCTGTAATACCTGAGAAATGTCAAACAACGCAGAAAAAAAAAGAAAAAAATAATTTTCATGAAAAGTGCTGAAATGCCAGTAGTTGGCCACAAAAAAATCTGATTTCAGCCAATTGACACCCAGTGCTCTGCTGAGATATTTTGTCTATTTGGGATGGTATCAGTTTTTGATTAGTTGTACAGGAGATTCCGAAGTTATTGCAAATTTCAGAAGAAAATGATTTCATTTTAGTAAAATTTCACTACAATACAAACAGAGAAACATATAAACCTTAAACTCCTCCATACTCCAAATTCCAAATTATCAATAGAAATAACAATTCACTATTCAAACTTTCTATATACATTTGAGGAAACATCAGATGGCAGTTTTTCTTTTCTGTTTTGATTTCTTTTTTTGAATCTATTGGACCTGGCCAAAATAAATGGTCCTCAAACTATTTCAAGGAAACTTTTGTTCTTGTGGCATTATTTGAATTTTCAGTGTCACTTTTCTTGTTCGGATTTGCCATTTTTGAGCGATTTTCTTTTTCATCATCGTCTTGTAGTTTATTCATTCTATTACCCTCGTTTTCATCTTTTTTAGTCTTATTTTTTTCTTGTCACTTGTCTCCTATATCATCCTTATCGATTGTAGTATTGTTTTCTGTCACTGAATTTTTCTCATCATCCTGGTTAATCTTGTTATCTCTTTCATTATCTTCTTTTGGTGTGATTTGTTTTGTTAAGTTGTCTTCCTTTCCAATATCTTCAACTCTGGTAATCTCATCATTTATTTCTGTATTGTTTTCTGTCACTGTATTTTCCTCATTATTCTGGTTAATCTCTTAATTGACTTCATTATCTTCTTTTGATGTTATCTGTTTTGTTGAGTTGTCTTCCTTTTCAATATGATCTTTTTTGGTTTTCTCATCATTTTTTTCAGTATTGTTTACTGTCACTGCATTTTCCTCATTATTCTGGTCAATATCTCCACAATATCTACATCAGTTTCATTATCTTCTTTTGGTGTTATCTGTTTTGTTAATATGTCTTCCCCAGTGTCTTCCTTTCCAATATCATCTTCTTTGGTGTTCCCATCATTTTCGGCTTTTTTATCTTGTGAATTTTCTTCACTGGTTATCTGATCATGTTTTTCTGTAGATTCTTTCAAGTCATCATTATTATCTCTATATCTTTCTATTTTATCATCTTTTTGTGATCTGTCTAGTATATTGTCTTTGGTTATCTGATTGAATTTCTCATTGATTTCATTTTCTTTATCATTAACTGATGTAGGCGTTTCTTCTATTTTGTTATTGGTTATTTCCTCAGGCAAGAAATCGTCACCATATGCGAAAATATTTGCATAATTTTCAACATCAAAAATTGACTCTGGTTCTAGCAATGCTATGTCATCTTTGGTACTATTATCATTGGGTTCAGTCCTTATAGGGTTAATGTCATTTTCAAGTGTGATGTTGTCTTGCACTACTAAAACAAGGACATTATTATGTACCTCATATATACCAGATCGAATTTCATTCAGGGCCTCACATTGTATCACGTGACCTAATGTAATGTCATGTTTGATATGTGAATATTGGTTTGTTTCCAATTTATTCTGGATACATTTACTATAGTCAACAGCATCAGGTTTCAGGGGGCAAAGTCCGCATCTTTTAAATCCATTGATGATGGGTCTGGTAAAGAAGACGACTTTGAACACTCCTCTAATAGAGGACAACAAGTTGTTTTCTTTAAGACACTGTTTAAATTTTCTGTTTTTGATAGCCATCCCCGTATGGTTTCCTTCCACTGTGTTTTAAGTGACTTCAAGACGCTGATATCAGCTGGTTGCAGAATGTGGGCGCAATTTGGTGGGAGGGCATATAAAATATTCCCATTTTCATCACACCATTTGCTCAGGTGTCAAGTAAGATGGGACTTGTGAATAGAAATACTGGTTTTGGAATTTCTTTTGCTTCTATCCAACTATTGACTCCATTTACAATGTATTCATAGAAGACCTCACTCCCGAGCTCACTCCTCATCCAACCTGTTTCTGATTCACCTAAAAACCAATCTGGTGGCATTGATTTAACTACAGTCGCAGGAGGTCCACTGTAGGGAAATACAACCATAGGATAAACGGTTTCTCCAGCGGCTGTAAACACAAGCAACACTGTTATGGCTTCCTTTTCATTTCCCTTTTTCAGATCATAAGCGTTTTTCCACCCTTTTGGAGCAATAACTTCTCCAGTCTTAGGAAAAAACGAAAAACTAGTTTCATCCCCATTTAAGACTCGACGTGGGTCGCTGAAGATCTCTTGAAGATTATTTTCATTGATGAATTCATCTAATTCTCTAAACCATTTTCACATCGATTCTTCAGTGATTATGGCCCTCGATTTAGTTAAGCCTTCAGGTTCCCTCAAAACCAAATCTGGATGTCGTTTAATAAACCCTGCATACCATTTATCACCTGGTCTTCCGTCTTTGAATGGATTCTCTCTTTTATCATTCAATATGATATTCTGAACAGTGTTAAGAAGGTCATATTTCTTCTGGGGAAATCCAGTTTTTGCCAATTCCTTTAGCCAACTGGCTAAAGTGAGTTCTTCTTTTGCACTCAGCATTGTAGGAGGACCCATTTTTCGTGGATCTTGTTTGACTATTCCAGTAATTCTATCTTGAATGGTTGTTCTGGGTACATTAAATTGGCGACTAGCTGCTCTAACTGTCATCCCATTTTTTACAGCCTCAAGTGCTGAAGCCAAAGCTTACTTTTGTTGCCATGATCTGCAATGTTAAAACTCACTTAGTAATGACCGCGGCCGAGTTCTGGTAGTACAAGATCTGAAGTCAGCCATATCATGAATTGAATCACTTAAGATATGGCCGACTATGGGTTTCTTGAATAAATATTCAAGAAATGTTGGCCAGGTGGCCGACTACTGATTATTTGACCATTTGCGATCCCAGTACTGGACTTTTGCAAAATAAATAAGGTTCAGTGTAAATTTCTACCTTCTTAAACTGAAAATTGATAGATGAATATTTGAAAAATTTCATGCATTAAAAAAAATAGTTAGAAAGAAATCAGTTTGACAAGAGAATACTATTCCCTGCACCTTCAATTCTAAGCAAAAATCGTATGATTTCTTACCTTTTGCGGCCACCACGTGCACACTTATCTTCTTCTGGTACTATGAATTTACAGCGTTGTCGGATTGAACAAAAATTACTATATATTGAAGAAATGGATATGCCAGAGTAATGAATGAGCATTTCATGAATTGTTTTGGATTAGTATTTTTATTATTCCAGTTTTTTCTCCCGACTGGCCGATTACCGGCTGGGGCCAACTTTGGGCGCATTTACCCTATAGTCATTTTATCTCTTATTCTTACCTACCAATATTTTATGAGCAACCAAGGTGAAGAATTGATTTCTTTTTTCATGATTTTTCAATCATATTTTTTTTTTCTATGACGGGAGAGAAGTTTGATGTTTCATCTCTGTTTACAGATCATAAAATGTCACTTTTCATGAATTACTTTTTTCCCAGGGGAAAAAAGTGAGTACTTCATTCCTGAATATATCATTAATCCTTAAGAAAAGAGTTACAACTCAAAAAACATATTTTTTCAGAAGAATCATTTTGATATTGGTTTAAATTTCAATTGACTTCATCTTCTCAATCCTATGGTCTATACTGACTGTTTTTCCTGCAAACTATCCTCCATAAACCCTTTAGAGGTCAACATAGTATCAGCTCTCCATAATGAAAAACTGTAGGGAAATTAACTGATGTATCTCTCTTGAATCCAAAACTTTCACCATATCTTCATGATTGTCAATGTTACAACAAAATGGAATCTTGGATAATAAAAGGGCTTGAAACTTGATATTTCATTATTGAACAAATCTACATTCTTCATAAAATGAGAAACATCAAAACTTATCAGTGAAACTGAACACATTGAAATCAACCCATTTTTCCGGGGAATTCCGGAGGATTACTGTGATTATTGTGTTTCTTTATTTTTTTCGGAATATTATAATATAGTATAATTTCAATATTTTCATAAAATAATAAATGAGAAACAAAACAATATTCCTCATAATATTTTTTAAAATATAAAAACGAACATGATTCATACACATATTATATTGGGTGTCTACTTCAATTTGTATACGAATCCATGAAACATTCATCTCCAAGATAGTCACCACTTTTGTTATAGGTATACCTATATCTCCGTATACAGAGTGGGCCTTTGAAAACGAAACAGAGGCTCTGTAGGTCGCCAAAACCGGATTATGAAAAGAATCTGGAACACGTCAACTACGTTTTCGAGGGGGACATCGTCCTACAATATTTTCAGCCCTGCGGCGTTGCCGCTGCTAACGAAAAGAAGCAACAACTTTGTTATTTCAAATGGAACACCTTGTATTTCATTGCATTTTTAGATTCTCCCCGAAGAGCTGATTTCATCAATGCATCACACTTGGGGTCTAGCTGTAATGGTTTCAGGGATATAAAGGGTTCAAAATCGAGATTTTTCAACTTTGACATTTTTTTGTGTCGAAACTATTCATTATTGGTCGAAACGGCTCTCATGTTCCTATCTCAACTTGTGATTTACTATCTACTGACATTTAACTGGAACAGATACAGGGTGATCAGAATTCTGAATCTTGAACCACCCTGTATTTGTTTCAAATAAATGTCAGTAGATAGTAAATCACAAGTTGAGATCGGGACATGAGAGCCGTTTTGACCAATAATGAATAGTTTCGACACAAAAAAATGTTAAAGTTGAAAAATCTCGATTTTGAACACTTTATATCCCTGAAACCATTACAGCTAGACCCTAAGTGTGATGCATTGATGAAATCAGCTCTTCGGGGAGAATCTAAAAATGCAATAAAATACAAGGTGTTCCATTTGAAATAACAAAGTTGTTGCTTCTTTTCTTTAGAAGCGGCAACGCCGCAGGGCTGAAAATATTTTAGAAAGATGTCCCCCTCGAAAATGTAGTTGACCTGTTTCAGTTTTTTTTGATAATCCGGTTTTGGCGACCTACAGAGCCTCTGTTTCGTTTTCAAAGGCCCACTCTGTATATAGTTAATATAAAGGATTAGTGTTTGAATGAACGTTTCATCTCTTTGTATTTATTGGTGATAGCAGTTCTATCAGCGTTTGTAATTCTCAGTTTGCCTGACCCTAGCATACTAATGGGTCAATAAAATATAAAATCTGAATTCACATATTGTATGTCAGAATTTCTTGGCCATATGAATTCATTCGAATCTTCAGTCAGAAATTCAATTTTGAATGTGTTATCCCTGTTATTACTATCATCCTACTATCATCCTCCCTCTGCAGAATTCTTCCAATGTACCAATATCATAGTAGACGGCATAATATTTCTCAATTTGTACCACTAGTTTCAGCATTGAATGCCCTTCCCTGGAAGAGGAGACTTTCGTTGGGGCCATCACTCTTAAGAGTCGGTCAGCGCTTATTTTGGTGTGGGAATAAAGCAGCCAGCACAATGATGATTTTCTGATAGCTATTCTTTTAGACCCTATAGCTACCTCAAAGAAAGAACTGCATTTTTTTTGGATTCTATCCGAACAATCTTTCATGTTCAGATATTCACCAAAATTCAATAATTCCTTGGAGATATCCCCAGGAAGATCATCTGGTTGATTATTTGCTTCGTTGTTATCTGAACTTTCTTCAGCCAATAAATTGATGTTGGTAATCAGTTGGTCTTCCTTTGTGTTCTGGTCGTGTTGATCTACACAACATAATGGCTCTTCATCTATAATGTCATCTTCGAATTCAATATTTTTATCACACTCGATTTTCACGTCAACTAGTGCCCTTAAATGATAAAATATATTCAAGTCGACCTTCGAATTGGAGTGAATTTCACACTAAGACAAATTGGACTGAATCTGAGACTGTATCATTCAATGGTAGGTAGGTACTGTTTTTTTTCAAGGTTGTTTCTATCGCAAATAAAAGCAGAAACAGATAAATATACATTATAATCATGAAAAAATAACAGATATCTGTATTACTTGCATACATAATGAATCTAGATAGATACAATGAACATTGATTGATTCTGGTCCATTTTGTCCATTTAAAGACTGAACCGAGGACAAAACCAAGGACTGAACCGAGAACTGAATAAACAAAATTGAAATGCCCTGAACCGGCACTGAATCAAAAAATGGATACATATATACACGGTGTTATCCAACCTTTTGCATGCCCGTGAAGGACGGGTGTAAAATGCCATTTTAGAACCAATTGCAGGTGTGAAAAATTCGAAAAAAGAATTGGAAATTTTAAATTTCGTTGAAAAATCCGTCATCATTTTGGGAAAATCTGTCTGCCGAACTTCAACTGACGCAATTGCTCTGTTCCCGTCAGCTCTCGGGTCAGCTGAAGTTTGGTGGACATCACTTTCTAGAATTTCGACGAATTTTCCAACCCAATTCAACGTTTCCACAATTTTTTTTCGCATTTTCACACCTGTCCTTTTTTCTAAAATGGCATTATACACCCGTGCTTCCACGGACTGCAAGAGGTTATATGACACCCATATTCAGATAATTGAAGGATTATTCCAGATCATAAAATGATACAACAATGATACATGATGATTTTTGTCCAGATTTTAGCGATAGAAAAAAATAAACGAATTAAAAAATTGTGGAATTTGTTGCCATGGGTTGCGGATGGTTGTCAACCTCATTAAACAAATATGAACATCGTGAAAATAAGAAATATCCAGACTGCAATAATTTTCAATGGAAAACTCGAAAAAACTATGATAACATATCATTTTCTTGATTCATTTGAATAACTGCGTTGTGAAAATTGATATCAATTCAAGATAATACTCACCGCATTACGATGTTTTCGATTTTATCGTCTTCAGGAAAGTTATTATCACTTGAGGTTTGACCGATTCCCAGTTTACTGGTAGTTTCTCTTGGAAATATAAATGTTCCTGATAGGTCATTAACCACATTTTGTATATACTGGATTCTATTTAGCCTCTGCATTATTTCTGCTATCCCAAAATTTACCACAGTCGAGAATTTACTTGTTAGTTATCTAGTTGCACGAAAAATTAGCTCACACGGTTGAGAGCTATAAAGCCAAGAAACGAAATCACATCCATTATTTAATTTCTTTATTTTCACAGGATAATCTTATTAGTCTGATCATAGCATTCCTCCAGATTCTCAAAACAATACGCAATCCCAGATTTTATATAATCGATCTTCGATATTCTCAGATCTACTTAAAAATGATTCGATTACAAGGCGCATAAATTCCAAGTATATTTCATTAATACATAAATTTAAATCAATGAAACAATTACGAGTACTAGCACATGTACTGATAGGAAAAAAATAAAATTCTTGTCCAACAATAACCCTTCATCCAAAAAATAATGTGTAATTACTGCGAATCACCTTTGACATCAGCGGGAACTTCAACGTGCATATCAACTCAAGGGTGCTGTCAAGGCATAGGAATCGATTCCACTGGACGAATTTACAAGACCGTATGTCGACCTATAGGGAAACTCCGAAGGCCAATATCTTCGTAATCGTAATCTATATTGAATTGTATTAAAATGAAATAAATAAAAATCCTGGTGGAAGTCGATTCATATAAAGAAAAAGTCAACACTCTATTATTATGGCTTTTAGCCGTAAGGCTCAAGATCCTACTAGTAGCATATGTAGATAGTCCGTATCTTGAGGGTTCCTTTTTTTCACAATATATCTAATCACGATTTGATTACAATACTTATACACATTTTTCATCTTTTATAATTTATACATTGCATAGTACCGATTCGAGATAACCCCTAAGCAGTATAGAATACTGGTAACTGAAAATATAACTAATAAGTAACACATTCTGTCATATATGTACAATGGAAATATCATAGTAATTTATAGAATTAATATTGATTTTGATACAGTTAAATTTTTCAGGTATTTTCTAATTTTCTTAACAAATAACTCTTCATTTGGTATCTCCTCAAGTGCCTGTGGTATTGATTTAGATACATGTATGCACCTATTCATAGGATTATTTAGTGCAACATTTGTTGGAATATTTGGGAGGTATAGTTGCCGTCAAACATATAAGATAAATAAAATAAGGCGCAAAAAATGGTCAATTATCATGTGAATCGATTCCTATGCCGAGAACCAGGGTCGGACTGGTACATATTATGCGACTATATTTTATAACCATTATAACTATTGTGATGTGTGCAGATATTATCCAGCTAGGTATGAATGGTATGATTGATGAATTCACAAGTTATCTTTGATTCAAAAACAAGAATTATACAATATTATATAAGATTCCTTCTGGTTAAAAATCATCGTCATCCGAGTCATCATCGTCTCCTACATTTACGAGTACATTTATAACAAATTTATTTCCATTATAGATATGGTAGGCACCAAATTCCTTGTACTGATTTTCATATTTCTCGACTTTTTCCACTAGTTTCTGCCAGTCGCTTGCCTGAATTTGGTGTACTTCTTTATTGATAAATTTGATAACTTCCTTATCAAATTTAGGGGCGACATTTTTTGTGCAAATACATTTCTTCAGTTGTCCCCAAATCAATGGGGAAGACCACAGAGGGAAGAAATCCGTGCAAACCTCTTCCAATCGACGAATCATGATTTACATTTCATGTACAATCAATATTATGAGATGAAGTTGAAGGAAATCGAATCTTTATCGTTTTGAAATCAGCATATTTCATTCGATATTTCAAACAGCCAAATATGATGGTGGAGTCGTGACGTATTAGTCCCGAACTGTAGCTATCTCTCTCTGATACCTCGTCATTCTGCAGTGTTGCAGTGTAATTGGTCAGTTCAAGGACAATAGGCGTGTTGGGAATGAGACGTCGCACCAGTCACACCAATGAATTGATGAAATTTCAAATGGCGCAGGAATTGTGTGTTTTGAAATGGAGATATACTAATTTATTTTTTTCATCGTCTTAGCATGAATGAAGAAATTCAAAATTAATTCACTGGTAGTTTTTCAGTATAGAGTTCACGATAATGTCGTTTTAAAAAATCAGTGGTCTTCCCCATTCTATGGGATTGAATATGCAAAAATATGTTGGCATTCTCAACACTGTATGTCCATTTCGACTAGCTATATCATCTATAACATATCTTTTGTTAAATGATTTGGTACCTAAGACTTCTAGGAGTTCGCTTTTCTTGTATGTTTCTTCAAAATACAAATCATCTTCTAAAAGGAAGTTTTGGATGTCCGATTTGCGGCTGGAACTATTTGGAATTTTAAGTGACAGTCTAAAATGATACGAAGCATTATCGAGGACGATAACACTATAAGGTTCTATTGCAGGTATTACAACTTTCTCAAACCACTCCTCAAATATATCAGAAGTCATATTTTGATGATACTCTACATTGCACTCTGCCAAATTTTTGCCGCACAATTTCAAAGCATTTGGGGCCCACCCTTTTTCTGACCCGCAATATAATATCATCAACCGGGTTCCTTTGTTAGGAGGTACATTAACTTGGCAGCGTGGTGAATTATCAGTCCATCCTTTTTTCGCAGTGTCATGGGTGTCATACCAAGTTCCATCTAAATAGTAAATACATCTATTTTCATTTCGAAAAGCAGTCAATTTCTCCAAATAATCTTGGCGCCATTGAACAATCCGCCGACTTTCCATAATTGATGCCCTCTTATCTATTGTTTTAAATTAGAAACGCAATCGAATCAGTATTCTTCGCATAGTTGCTTAACTGAAATTAATTGGCTCTTCCATAGCATGCAGTTTTTGAAAAATGATCTCAATTGTAGGGATTATATTTGACTTATAACACTCATAGATGATATTCTTCAATAATTTGGAGAAGGAAGGATCCAAATGATTTTCCTTTCCCTTATCTGCACGAATTTTGCGACGTTCACTTCCATGTTTAATCAACTTATAAAGAGTTGGTACAGGAAATTCCGTATAAAACGAAGTTGTTTCAATTGCATTTTCTTTCCACAATGTTCTGGTAAACTTTCAGTACAATGTTTTTGGAATGTTGGCACAAATGTTGGCGTGTATCATTATTATTACTCACTGATCTTTCATTTTGCGTCACTGATTCAATACTCGAATCTGATTCCGAACTGGAAAAGTAATTTGGCGGATTTGGCCTATTAGAAGACCCATCATTTGATTCCCAAGGCCTGAAGAAAAGAGATTATTATCACGCCCGACCCTGCATCGAAAAAACACCTATTTGTCGAGCGGCTCTTTGCATCTTCCGCGCCAAGTTTGACATGGGGGCGATAGGTGGAATAATTTAAAACCCATTAGGGACTGAATTAATGAATTCGCGAAAATTTGAATAAATTATCTTTATTCCTACTTGAACATATATTCTGTACATCAGTAAATCGAGATATATTCCCTATTGTCTGCCATTTTCAAAATGGCGGCCATACCATATATGGAACACTAGTCCTTTAAGATGTGGAAAATGGAATAAAATGCTGGGACCTCTATTCTACTTGAAATATATTATATTTCCATAATTTTTCATTGAATGAGCTTATTTCGTATGAAAATTAATGAAACAGTCAATACATAGACCGACATCGCATTTTCGACACTGTGTGCGAACAGAGCTGCCTTTATGATTGTGTCCTACACATCGCCGGCGTTTATTATCAGGTACATATTCAACAAGGTGATCTCTACCATCAAAGCGAATATCTGAAGATATTTTAGAATTTTCTGAATATGTTGGTGGTCTTCCCGAAGACTTCGGTAAATTTTGAAATTTCTTCAGGTAGGCTTGCACAACTTCTCTCCTGAAACTCAGCTGAGAAATTTCCTGGTGATGTATTATAGCAATCCTGTAGACATTTATGTTCGCGTCCATTTGGTCTGTTCCTCCCATGTACTCATTGTACTTCTGTATGCAGCGTGGCCTTTTTATTGATATTTTCTTCTTTTCAGCAGCTGAATATCTTTGCGCGTTAGATAAAGGAAAAACGGAGTGTATGGTCGATGCGACAGTTACAACTGAATTGTCCATCCATCTAGCAACCACAATTGATGCATCATCGTAGACACATGAGGCGTAATCGAATTCACGACGTTTCTTTTTCTTCATTTTCTTGACATCGGTTATTAGACAATCACGAGCAATCCTATTTTCTCGAACTGTGCCAGTACCATCATAGCCCCTCTGCTTCAAATATGAAAGAAATTTTACAGAAGTAAATAAATTGTCAAAATAAAACTGATATGGCAAAGATTTTATGTCTTCTGGTAGGTCATCAATAAGTTGAATGAGTGGTGCAGTTGCTTTCCCATATTCTTTTTGATGCTCCGGGTTAGAATTAGGTATCGTTCCTTGATATATTTCGAAGTTGATCAAATATCCGTTCTTCGAATTCATGCACCGAAACGTATGGGTTTTCCCCGAATGAATTGTTTACACCCATGTCGCCCATAGTATTCGATCATACTTTCATCGTAAGAGATTTGTGAGGAGGGTATGAAATTTTTGAGAAAATTCTCTTTCATTTTATTGATGAGAGGTCTCAATTTCGTCATTTTATCCTTGGGATCGAGCATTGAGTTATCTGCACAATGCACAAATCTCATAATTTCAATAAATCGATCACGTCTCATGGATTTGTAGGCAGCACTGTTTCTGAGATCTTCGCCAGAATCCCAATAACTCTTTTTCGATGGTTTTTTATCGTATCCTGACACTATTAGTATAGCCAGGAAGCATTTTATTTCATCATCAGTTATATCAGGGATCAGACGGTTCTTCATAGTAGCATATCTTTTACTCTCTTCTGATAAGAATTTCACGATGTCATCCGTAATGAAACATTCGAATAAGTCAAGGGGAGACATATTTCTATATTTAGAAGCATCGAATTGTGGAAACAAAGCGTCACCTGCACAGGCACCCCCATCTATACTGCTGAGTACATTTAGATGTCTTATTAGATCCCT